ATTGCTCCGCGTACTAAAGTTGTACTAGAAAGTCGCCAGTTCTCAGCAGTGCCTGCCACGAAACCTCCACATGGAGGTTCACAAAGCGCTGCGCCTGCCACGAAATCTGCGCATGGAGGTTCACAAAGTGCTGTGCCTGCCACGAAATCTGCGCATGGAGGTTCGCAAAGTGCTGTGCCTGCCGCGAAATCTGCACCTGGATCTTCACAAAGTGCTGCGCCTGCCACGAAATCTGCACATGGAGGTTCACAAATGGCTGCGCCTGCCACGAAATCTGCACCTCGAAGTCACGAAATCTGCACCTCGAGGTGCCACGAAATCTGCGCACGGACGTTCACAAAGTGCTGCGCCTGCCACGAAATCTGGACATGGAGGTACAAGTGAAAACTCTAATCCCAATGGAGGGACGATTCCGAGCATGCCCGAGCATGATCCGAGAATGACCCGAGACCGTCTCGCGCCCGTCGTTCCGCAGAGCTAGACTTGCCAGGTTTGAAGCCACCGGTTCTTTTGAAAAATACAGCATTTCGTGCGTCCGCTATCTCTCCAAAACGCATTTTGTATTGCGCCTGCCACGAAATCTGCACCTGGAGGTTCATAAAGTGCTGTGCCTGCCACGAAATCTGCGCATGGAGGTTCACAAAGTGCTGCGCCTGCCACGAAATCTGCACCTGGAGGTTCACAAAGTGCTGTGCCTGCCACGAAATCTGCACCTGGAGGTTCACAAAGTGCTGCGCCTGCCACGAAATCTGCGCATGGACGTTCACAAAGTGCTGCGCCTGCCACGAAATCTGGACATGGAGGTTCACAAAGTGCTGCGCCTGCCATGAAATCTGCACTTCAAGAAACAAGTGAAAACTCTAATCGCAATGGAGGGACGATTCCGACCATGCCCGAGCATGATCCGAGAATGACCCGAGACCGTCTCGCACCCGTCGTTCCGCAGAGCTAGACTTGCCAGGTTTGAAGCCACCGGTTCTATGGAGAAATACAGCATTTCGTGCGTCCGCTATCTCTCCAAAACGCATTTTGTATTGCGCCTGCCACGAAATCTGCACCTGGAGGTTCACAAAGGGCTGTGCTTGCCACGAAATCTGCGCATGGAGGTTCACAAAGTGCTGCGCCTGCCACGAAATCTGCACCTGGAGGTTCACAAAGTGCTGTGCCTGCCACGAAATCTGCGCATGGAGGTTCACAAAGTGCTGCGCCTGCCACGAAATCGGCACTTCAAGAAACAAGTGAAAACTCCAATCACAACGGAGGGACGATTCCGACCATAATCCGAGCATGATCCGACCATGATCCGACCATGACCCGAGACCGTCTTGCAACCGTCGTTCCGCGGAGCAGGTTCGGAGATGCATGGAGGTTCACAAAGTGCTGTGCCTGCCACGAAATCTGCGCATGGAGGTTCACAAAGTACTGCGCCTGCCACGAAATCTGCGCATGGAGGTTCACAAAGTGCTGTGCCTGCCACGAAATCTGCGCGTGGAGGTTCACAAAGTGCCGCGCCTGCCACGAAATCTGTGCATAACTCTAATCACGATGGAGGGACGATTGCGACCATGATCCGAGCATGATCCGACCATGATCCGACCATGACCCGAGACCGTCTCGCAAGCGTCGTTCGGCGGAGCTTCCGCGTCGAGGTTCGGAGAAGCATGGAGGTTCAGAAAATGCTGCGCCTGCCACGAAATCTGCACATGGAGGTTCACAAAGTGCTGCGCCTACCACGTAAACTGGAGCTAGGGCTCTTGCAACTAGAGCTAACTGGATGATGAGATGAGTGGTGTATGATGAGTGGTGTATGATGAGTGGTGTATAATGAGTGGTGTATGATGAGTGGTGTATGATGAGTGGTGTCTGATGAGTGGTGTCTGATGAGTGGTGTATGAT